TTTGTTGGAGATGCTAAGTTGGGAGGAAGCGATCCTTCTAGAACAGGATTCTCCCCCGAAAACTCGGCTATGAAGTCTGCCAGTATTTGACCCTTTATTGCAGTTCGGGGTTTGAAATGAATGTCGTGCTCCCCCAACTCTACAGCCCATTTGGAGATCCTTCCGGAGAGTTCAGCTTTCCTCAAAATTGCCTTCAAGGGCTGATCAGTTAGGACAGTGATTGGGTGCGCCTGGAAGTAATGGCGCAGTTTCCTTGCAGTGGTGACCAAGGACAGGGCCAGTTTCTCTAGGGGCAGATATCTTGTCTCTGCATCCAGGAGCGCCTTGCTGATGTAGTAAATCGGCTTCTGTCGGTGCTCATGCTCACGGATAAGTACTCCGCTTACTGCAAACTCTGAAACTGCCAGGTATAGGAACAGCATCTCCCCCTGGATGGGGACGGACAGGGTCGGAAGAGTCCTCAGGTATTCTTTGATCCCAGCCAGGGCGTCCTCGCACCCCTGGCTCCACATACTCTTCCCAGCACATTTGATTGCTCCAAAGAAGGGTTTGCATTTATCCGAGGAGCGTGAGACGAATCGGTTAAGTGCAGCCAGCATCCCTGTGAGTTTCTGGACTTCTCGGACAGTGCGAGGGCTTCGGATATCCAGGATTGCTTTAATCTGATCTGGGTTGGCTTCGATTCCTCGCTGACTAACCAGATACCCGAGGAATTTTCCCGACTCCACTCCGAAGACGCACTTTGCTGCATTCAGCTTCAACCCATACTCCCTGAGAGTGGAGAAGGTATCCGCCAAGTCTGTAAGATGATCACCACTCCGTTTGCTTTTTACCAGCATGTCGTCTATGTAGACCTCCATGGTGTTGCCGATCTGCTTCTTGAACATCCGATTCATCAATCTTTGGTATGTTGCCCCGGCGTTCTTCAATCCAAACGGCATCACTTTATAACAATAAACTCCCTTCGGAGTGATAAATGCCGTTTTTTCTTGATCCGGGGCATAAAGAGGGATCTGATGATATCCTGCTCGGGCATCCAGGAAGTCCATTCGTTCATACCCGGCTGTGGCATCTACCAGCTGGTCCACCTTCGGCAGGGGGTAGTCGTCCTTGGGACATGCCTTGTTTAGATCTGTGAAATCCACGCAGACACGCCATTTCCCCCCTTTCTTTTTTGCACATACTGTATTGGACAGCCATTCTGGGAACTGTATCTCTCGAATGGCGTCGGCTCTTAGGAGTTTGTCTATTTCCTCATTGACCGCGTTGGTGTGATGCGGGGCCATACGTCGTGGCCTCTGCTTTACTGGCTTGTGAGATGGGTCAACATGCAGCCTGTGAGTAATTATCTCAGGGTCTACTCCTGTCATTTCCATTTCGTTCCAGGCGAACACGTCTGTATTCCCTCTTAAGAACCTGATCATCTCCTCCTGTTCGGCTGCGGGCATCGAGGTCCCAACTAGGAAATACTTCTCTTCTTCTCCTTCAACCAAGGGCACCTTCCGGAGGCCTTCAACCGATCGTTCAGCTGGGTCTACCCGGGGGTCATCCATCCCCGGACGCCCGGACTGTAATTGCTATTTTTCTATGATCTCTTCCGGTGCTCGCCCCTTCTCCTGGCTGGATGCCCCGGCTCGGACGGCCGAATAAAAACAGTTCTTCGCAGACGCTTGATCCCCCCGAATCTCCATGACGCCCTCTGGCGTGGCGAACTTCAACTTCTGGTGGAGAGTGGAGTGCACCGCTCCCAACGCGTGCAGCCATGTTCGCCCCATAATCACGTTGTAAGGAGAGTCCGTGTCGATCACCACAAACTCTGTGTCGATGACGAAGGGACCAGTGGCGACCGGTAATGTAATTTTCCCCACGGGCAAAGCGAAAGAGCCGTTGAACCCGATGAGGGGTGTCCTGATTTTGGTTAAGTCTTTGGGGCCAAAGCCCATCCGCTTCAAAGTCTCGAAGTACATCACCTCCGAGGAGCTCCCTGAATCTATCAAGATTCTCTTGACATCGAATTTCCCTATCTTTAGGGTTAAGACAAGGGCGTCGTTATGAGGAATCACCACGCCTGTCAAATCCGCGTCAGAGAACGTAATGCCAAGCTCAGCCATCCTGGCCCTTTTACTTGATGGCCCCACATCTCCCTCGGCCACCTTTCTTGTAAAAGCTACCCTCTTGAGGTCGGATTCGAGCTCTTTGGACGTGGGGCGCTCCAGCGGACATACATGGATGACGTCTATGACGTTGTCCGGTTCCTCGGCCGGGGCAAGGGCTCGTTTCTCTTCCGGCCTAGGCTCTATGTATTCTTTCAGGTATCCATCTCGGACTAAGCTCTCCAAGAACGACTTGAACACCCTGCAGCTCTCGGTACGATGCCCAACATCCCGGTGATATGAACACCTTACTTTTTGATCACGGGTGGAGGGGTCGCTCTGCATCCTGGGCGGCCATTTGAAGAACGGCTCGTGTTTGATTTTATGGAGCAACCTGAAGATGGGTTCCTTGAAGACGGTGTGAATTCCTCTGGACGAACCCCCTGGATGGGGTTGCAATCCCTTTCGAGGAATATCTTCGCGCTCTTTCTCCTTTCTCTTGGATTGGAGGGCTCGGCCTTTATTGCTTCCCATCTCATCCTCGACCCTCGAGTACTTATTGATCCGGGCCATCAGTTCCCCCATGTCCGAGGGAGTCTTTTTGGTCAGGGATCGGTACAGGTCCGTGTCCCTCGCCAAGCCGAGCCGGAAGGATGCTGCTGCCATGACCTCCGAGCATCCCTCGACCTCATTGACTTCTTCCCAGTATCGGATGGCGTACTGGCGAAGAGTCTCGGATTCCCTCCGCCTGAGGGTCAACAGTGATCCAATGTCCTTGGGGCGCTTACTCCCCGTGATGAATCGGGTTAGGAATTGCCTTGTCAATTCTTTCCAGGACCCAATACTGTTTGGTGGAAGCGTCTCGAACCACCTCATCGCAGAGTCCCCCAAGCTCATAGGGAACACCCGGCATAGAAACCGTTGGTCCGAATGATAGAGGGACATCATCTGCTTATATTGTCTGATATGGGCATCGGGATCAGATCGCCCATCGTAGGTCTTGAACCGTGGCACGACGAACTTTCTTGAGATATCCATCTCACTGATTTCCCTCGTGAAGGGTGTTTGCATGACTTCGTCCTCGGCCTCGTCCTGGACCGCCTTACCCTTTCTTCTGGAGTCTAATCGGGCTCTGAGATCTACTTCTTCCCTTACGGGATGCCTCCTGAAGTCCCTGGGTTCGTCGGTAAGCCCCTCGTTTCCTGGACGTCGTGTAGATTGGGTTGAGTCCTCCTCGGATTCATCTCCCCTCCTCCGTCTGGATAAACCTCGGCGGAGGTCGTCCAGGGCCAACGGCCTCGCTTTCCTGGAATGGTTGTCAAGATGGCATTCGCCGGCTCTGGGTCGCTTCGGGGCCCTGGAGCTTTCTGCTTTGTGATCCAGGTGGTTTCTTAGATCCTTTGTCTCCGCCTCATGGACGGGGAGCCCTCGGGAAAGGAATGAATCCCTCGACCCTCCGCCTGAGGCGGCAAACTCGTCGAGCCGGCTAAGGACGTTTACATTGTCCTTCTCCAGCTGACGTAATCTATCGCCAAATTTCTCTTCTATTACCTCCGCCAGCTGACGGGCCAAGGGGGCTGATCCTCCTGATCTGATCCCCATACTGGTTTGGGGGGTTACCCCCCTTGACCGAGTAGAGGCACTTTTAATCGTACTGGTACGATCCCTCCCTCCGTGATGGCAGGGAGCTTGCAACTCATGACTCCTTTGGTGGGGTCCTTTCCCTTTTTGTCTGGTGTTCACCATGGTCACTGTTCTTTATAGAGAAAAGATTAGGAAAACTACTCTTTTCCCACAGACGGCGCCATATTGTGCGTGCAAGATCCTGCACAATATATAAAAAATATTGGGAACAGCTCTCTCCCCTGGTGAACTTTGAGTGAGCCGGTTGAGTGGTCGAACACGCCGCTTGAAACAGCCTGCGAGGTCCGGTGGAAAAAAGGAACGGCAGAGGAAGATCCTGGGAAAGGAAGAACGATCCTGTATGTGTGAACGGTTTTCCTGGAACAAAGGAGAACAAGTTAGAAGGGCGCCGGAGTGTTTTCCGGCGTATCCCCTCCGACGGTCTAGTTAGTCTTTGAATGAGAGAGATGAAGGAGAAAACACTGAGAATGATATATTGTAGTAGAGAGTTTGTGATTGCCTACCTCCTTTGCCTTTTGGGAGGAGTATTTATACCTTAGAAGCTCATGATTGCTGTCAGTGTGGTCAGTAGGTGATCATCAGGCACAGGTAGCGTGTATATTGATTTGATGAGGAATGTCTTCTCTAATTGATTGCTCGGGGTCCCGAGCAATCAATGCTGAGCCGTTGGGACGCCGACGGTACAATATGCTCCTTTCGGGAAGGATGCAATAAATGCTCTGTAGTAGGAGCATTTATTGCCTTTCATATCCGAACCTTACCGCATTGAATGCGGTCTCGTCAACAGAAGGGTGCAATTAATTGTTTGCTTTCCCAAGTCGCGTGTCAGCAACGGCATGCGGTTTGTCTGCTTCTGATGTGACATTATTTGCCACGCGTCCATCCCCTATTGGCTGTGACGTCGGTATTCCAGCACGTTCTGACATTACTTGTGTTAGACGAGGTCATGATGAATAGTCTAGACTGGCATAGGCTGATGCCCCGTGCGTCAGTAGCTTTACCCGGGAGTAGAGGAATCGTTCAGGATGGAGTGACCCTCGGCACCGAGGAAAGGCTCGCCTCGGGGACCGAGGGTGGTACGTTCCCGAGCTACACAGCGACCGAGGACACGTGTTATATAATGCACCCCGAATGTGTGATCCTTTAAGGGGTACCTCGGGGGAGAGGGACGCTCTTCGCCGATGGTGCTTACATCCGGGCAACACTGTTTCCAAAAATCCGAGGACACGTGTCTTCATCTTAGGGCTTTTCAGAAGAGTCCCATCAGTCATCTTTATTATCACAACTAGTACAACACTCATAAATGTGTCCTAAAACTGAATCAATCTCAGTATCGAAATGGTAAGACACGCCTAGACGCTGGATTGCATCAATCAAGTTCAGTTGCTGTGAAGGCTTATTAGCAACCGTGCCTAGCATCTTCTTCACTTCTTCTTTTAGTTGTTGATGTTGTTGCTCTGAATGAGTATCAATTTCCTGCACAAGCAATTAGTACTCATAATAATGAATGCATTATGATTCAAATCCTTTAACAAGTGAAGAATACACAGGAGTTTACGAGCTAATTCATACTGTAGTGTCAGAAGCATATCTCAGAAAATGGTCTCCCCAAACGCTAGGATGGTAATTTGCAGACCGACGGGTAACATTGGGGGCGGCATTTTGGGTGGCAACTGAAACATACATTTGCCATTTTGTGGCTGTGGAGGGGCGAGGGAGAGGAGAATGACAAGAACACTTGCTAGTTGCGAAGGATTTATAAGTTAAAAGTTTGATTTTTTCCCTCCAATTGCTGGTATTGACTATAGAGCTTTCGTAGGCTATTTATAGTTCCACTTCCTGGTATTAGAACTTAAGGCACCAAATAACATGTGAATTTTATGATTCTTTTAAATTTGGGAAACGGGATAAACATAGAAATGGCAATTGAGTCTGTGTGGAATTGTTCAGGGAATGCCATTTTAAATTCGTCTCGAGTATTAATCAACGTTAATTCAATTTATTTAATTAATTGTGTTAGCCATTCTGACACCGACTTATTTATATTGTGTCGTATTTGACTTAATTTATAGGAATTAAAAATTCAAAAGCAAGATTTAAATACCTCTAATATAATCCCACAACTCCTAGTTTTTCAATAAATTACAAAATGATTAAATCCAAATGATACTCAAAATAGAGAACAAATCCGCTTAATTTAAAATGATAAAAATACCAAATTTTGGTATTTTGTTCCTACAATGCTAGTTGGATTATTCTTGTTTGGTATTTTATTTCTACAACACTAGTTAGATTATTCTTACTCTTACGTCTTGTTTTTTATTATTATTTTTGTTATTAGAACTCAAGTCGCTTTATCAATTCTTGTCACATAAGATTTTAGTTATCTTATATTTGTATATTAGAGGTAATTAACTAGTGCTTGAAGACACTATACAACGTAAGTGATAAGTGATACATTTAAGAGGAAAAAATTTAATGTGAATGGTTTTGAGAGGAATATTTGTGACCGTTGGATGAATTTATTTGAAATCGTCGGATAAACTTATTGAAATTTGCTCTATTTTATATTATAGAATTTTAGATTTAGCAAAATTCGTCAATGTTATATTCAACACAGCATGTACCAAGTTAAGATAAAGAAGGAGGGTTGCGTTAAATAGCCGAGCTGTAGCAGGCTGGAACTTTTCAAGCGGGGCTCATCCATTGTCTATATGAGTTTCTTATGCCTTTTTTTTAATGGTTATTTTTCTTTTCTTTATGATATATTTTTAGCTTTGGAACTGACACGAAACATAAACGTCAAAGAAGGTGTAATTAGTAATTTTCGTAGTTGTATTCTTTGAAGGAATCAATACGTGATCATTGTTGTCGGCACTCAATAAAACCTTCGACATTGAGTAGTTAGGAAACAACACAATAACAAAATAAATGTAGTAGAAATGAAATGATAGAATAATAAATGACTATATTAAATTGTAGGAGTAGCTCCAATTGAGGATAAGTTAAAAAAAAAATAGATTAAAATGGTTTGACCATGTTAAACAGAGGCTGATAGCGGCACCGATTCAAAAAAATTAGATAATCTCTCTTATTGATAATAAAAAAAATATAAAAAATATTTAACTTAAATGAACGTATCATACATAATCGAAATGAATAGCGAAGACCAACTCATATAATCGACCCCAAATAATTGGAACATATGACTTAGTTTTGTTTGATTTAGATTTTTAGATGCAGTAGTTTACTATGTTTTGAAATCTTTATTGAAGCTGCCGACAATTTTTTTGAAAGAAAACAAAACAAAAAAAAATCAATAAATCGAACTATAATTGACTCACTCAAATTGTAAAACTTATGAATTATCACTCAAACCATCTAATTAGCCCTGAAAATTTTGGCGCCCATACAAGGCACTCTTTTTTTTTTTTTTATTCTAGTTAAAATGTAAGTAGGCATTAAATTTTTTTTATATATTAAAAATATATATATATATATATATATATATATATATATATGTGAGTGATCAAAATGTGAGTGAGTAATTAAAATGTAAATATGTTAAAATATTTATTGTAATTAAAATATAATTCATTGCAGTTAAATTTAAGCAATCTAAATCAATACTAGTTTTAGGATTGAGAACCGGTGACTACTCACCCTCATTCTAACCGCGTCTTCGAAGACCGAAATCAAATGTTAATAGCATTGAGTTACATCTTAGAGGGAGGCTCTGGTACCGATTTGGTACCATACCGTAAAAAATGTAAGATTATCAATTTTTTGTCATTAAATATTACTTACTAGAGCTGATAAGTTTGCCTATAAATGTTGTACCATTTGCCTAAATATTGTAATTTTAGCCATAATGGTGATAATTTTGTCTGTAAATGTGATAACATTATTTTAGAGGGTTGTAAACTCACCTCAAGAGAGATTGTAAGCTCACCTCACATCTAGAGGTGGTACTTTTATTTTTACTGCTTGTAACATATTCTTAAATAGTTATAACTTCATATCCAAATGTAGTAATTTTACCATAAATTATAATAATCTCACTTTCAAAGGTGATAATTTTACATTTACATGTTGTAATTTAATCTCAAATAGTTCTACCCTCACCTTTAAAAGTAACAGAATTACTTTAAAAGATTGTAACCTTCATTCCAGAGGTTATAACCTCACCTCTAAAAATGGTATTTTTACCTCTACAGGTTGTATCTTAACTATAAATGATTGTAACCTTACCTCTGAAGATAATAACTTTACCTTAAAATGTGATAACTTTATCTCAAGAATAATAATTTTATCTTTATAAATAGTAACATTACTTTTAAGGTGTAACTTCATTTCAATAGTAATGATCGATCATAATTATTTAGGATCAATCTTAATGCCTCTTATGTATCCAAATTATTATTATTATTTTTGTGATTCCTCTCAATTAGAATCGATCATGACTATATGAGATCGATTTTAATGCATTTAATGGTCAAAAAAATTTTCTAATCTATATTTCTAGTGGCACCAATTAAATAGGATCGATTATGACTAGTCGAGCCTTTTTTTTTGGTTGAACTGATCTCAATCCTATATTTAATTACATCAAATTGACATGTAATTTTATGAAATTAATTTTTAAATTTATCCATCTAACACTCAATTCATTAAAAATAACATTACATTGACCTTCAATTGTATTAAATTAACATTCAAAATTATAAATTTAAAATTCATCAAATTAACATTAAATTTTCATTCAATATTTTGTTACGTTCGAAATATAAATTGATGAAATTAAATATTACCAAAAAAAAATTAAAAAAATTCAATTAATGTTAAAGGTTAAATTGATGAAATATTAATTTGGTGAAAATTAATGTTAAATTAATGAAATTAAAGGTCAATTTATTATCAAATTGACAACAAATTGTCGAAATTAAATTTTAAATTAGTAAACTCGAATGTTAATTTGGTTAAATTAAAGATTAATTTGATGTTAATTTAATAAATTGAATATTAATTAAATAAAACTGAAGGTTAATTTAGTGTCAATTTTATAAAATAAAATTTTAAATTGATGAAGTTAAATAAAAATTAGAAAAACGGTTCAAAATAAATATTAAATTTATGAAATTTAATATTAATTTGAGATGAAATCACTATCTTTTTGATGTAAAATTACTAAAATTAGTGGTTAATCTTTCAACTTTTAAATTAAAATGATGGCAAAACAACATATGATCGATCTTAATCCCTTTTGAATGTCATTCAAGCTGCCCTTTTTTTTTTTTTTTATATTCTATTTTTACTTTTTCATTATGCCCAGCACCTTTTCGTATGGTACCAATTTTTTCTCTATTTGGTACCATAGAATTCACCTGCTTCTTATCTCTTCCGTGATGTCGAATTTATGCTCTGGTTAGTATGTCTACGTCCTCTCAAACCAATGGACAGTGACGTAATCGTCCTCTCACACATGTTTTTTCACACGAAAAACCATTAAGGACCGGGCAAATTGCGTGATGGTCCTATTTTTGGGCCCCTAATTAATCTTGTACTAACAATGTCGTGTGGTACAAATTACTTTCTCTATTTTTAAATATCTGTTATGTAAAAATAAAGATTTTTACATACAAAGCTTATGAGATGCTTAACCATCTGCCTCATCAGTGTATGGGCCGTCCTAAGATCTCCAATTTCACTGAAATATGAAATCAAAGTGTTGTATGTAACACTATCAGGCTTCACTCTAGCTTCCTCTAAATCCTTAAGCATCTCATAAGCTTTCTCCAATCTATTCTTCCTATAGAATCCACTAATCAGAACATTGTAGCTTTCTCCAATCTATTCTTCCTGCCGAACCCGACTTGATGCCACAGAGCTAGCATCATCCACCCTTCTAGCCTGGCTTAGACCAGAGATCAAGCAGTAGTACACAATTGCATCTGGGGAACACCCGGTTTTTAACATTTCATCAAATAATGCCATAGCCTTATCAATATTGTTGGCATTGCAGAAAGCACTAATCAAGATAGTGTAAGTAATTGCATTAGTTTTCAAACCCTTTTGCTGCATTTCATTAAGGAAACCCATTGCACTATTGATTCTCCCATGCTTACACATGCCATCAACCAAAGTATTAAGTGTAATCACATTTGGCATCACCCCCTCTTTGTACATCTGATCCAAAAGCTCATGGGCCCTCTCAATTTCACCAGCCTTGCAAAAACCATCAATCAAGCAATTGTAGGTAACAATATTAGGTTCACTTTCATGTCGTGATTTCATCAGTTCCAGTAAACCCAAGCCTTCTTCTTGTCGTGATGTAGTGGTTGGATATTGTTTGAACTTCGAGTTGGTTTTTCTCCAATTTCAGATCCAACGCCCCAATTTTATGCTTCCAAACACCCAGCCTTATAGATATCAAAATCTTGTTTTATATACTCAATTATATACTCAATGGTATGAATGTCTTATGTAGAGTTGCAATCACAATCATTGTGTTTTTATTTGTTTGTTTTGTGGGTCTGTTTGAAGGATGGACTGGATGCAGTGAGAAGTAACGTGCAAGCTCTAACTGCAAATGTAGGGAAACTTGCAACCTTAAGCCATTGATTGACAAATTGTTTTCTTATTGCTAAAGTAGCAAATTAGGAGCTTTTAAACAAAAAAAGAAAAAAAAAGGGGGGGGGGGGGGGAAGAAAAGCAGGTTCATTATTTCTTTGATGTGCTTTTGGAATGTTCAATAGGGAAGCATGAGAAAATCAGAAAAAGTAAAAGCTTTAAGGCATTAGTTATTGCCTTAAAGCATTAGTTTAACTCACTTTTTTTTTCTCAGTCATTGTACAGGCATTGCGTTCTATTCAATTTTTGGGGTTTTGTTCTTAAAATGGGTTTGGTTCTTTGATCAGGTTTATTAGGCCAGCGTTCACTGCGAAGGGCCTGAGTTCACATCTTCTAGCGGTAAGAATACTCATTTCGACTCTCCAATTCTGACTGAATTTTTTCTCTTTTTATTTCACGCACTGAATTTATTCACTTTCAAGCAGTTTCCAACGAGTTCCTCCAGTGACTGTTCTGGCTCTTCTCAGTCATCAGTGCACGGTAAGTTTATTTCTAATATTCTGAGATTGCCTTTTGTAAAGAGCCTTCCACAACCAGGCTTTTGTAAAGGGTGATATAGCTACCAGTAAAACCTTGGGACACTCCTCGTGTGGAAGATGACCACAACCAGATATTGCAACCGGTCTCTGCACAACAACAAATCATTGCACAATTAGATGAAAGTTCAGTTTCATTTTCTTCACTCAGTAAAATAACAATTTCTCTGAAAAATACTGAAATCTCTTGTATTTTCACCTACTTTTTTTGGTGTACATGTGACTGGCTGGCCATAAATGACAGGCAGCAGACCATTAATGACACCAAATATTCTATAGTATATAACCAAAGTAATGAGCTCACCTGCCAGAGGCTTTTTTAGACATCTTCGACAACTATCACAAGCACCACCGGTCCACTATTGACAATTACCCATCTTAACAAGCTACATGGAAACTCACTTAAAACTCAGCCAGGCTTTTTTTTTTTTTTTCAGGGCTGTAAAATAAACTAAGTCACTTAAAACTCAGCTCATGACTTGCTCACTCAAAGGCTCATTCAAGTTCTCTTTTTGCTGGTAAGGCTCACTCAAGTTCAATACAAACAAGCCAAGCTTGACTGCATTTTAAGGCTTGTTGAATTATAAAACTTTGTTTGACCTTTGCTTGAATAGCTCATAAGCATCATATGCCATATGAAAGACCAAGCTACTTTGTGATCAGCTCTTTTAGAGTTGGCTTGATCAAACCAAGTTTAAGTTTTCTTTTGAAGCATGTTAAAATTTCCAAACTAGGTTTGAGTATCCCAATTACTCAGCATGGCTAAATATGATTTAAAACACTTCAAATATTTCAAAATGTGAAATATACAATAGACACTAATAGAGAGCTACTTACAGAATTTACAAGTTTTAAAGCCACAGTTCGAACAGTTTTTAGAGGAACAAGGGCATCGTCGGCACCAGCAATAACCAGAACTGGTAAGTCTTCAACTACTTTTAGTAATGACTCTGCATTTTGTGGTGAGAGGACTGTCTTAAATGATAGTTTTCCTATCTCGCGGAGGGCTTCATCCCAACCTTCTATACATAATGGGGCCTGATTTCATAGCGGACATGTGGAACAGGTCAAATGGTCAGCATGTTTATAATGAATAACTGTGATCCAGATGTCGGAGGTAAAAAAATTATGGAAGATCACTATGCAAAATCAAGCAAACATGAGTAACCATGTGAGTTAAGTTGCATTTCATTTTATACTCCGTAATTTTAGCCTAAGTACTGAGCATACATCCAAATATTTGAAGTTATTGCTTTACATTGAGAGAAAAAAGCAAACCTCTTGAGCAAGCACAGGAAATTTGGTCAATGAGAAATAAAATGGTGTCCACCAAGATCTAAAAAGGAAAAACTCACACACCCAAATGGTTCATTTAACAACTGTATGTTTCCATCATCAATAGCTGGAACACTTGCTACTTTCAAGCAGTAGCTGAGCCACTAAATTAGCTAGACCAAGCATGAATGCCCATCTTACTTTTAGTGACTGAAATCTTACTCTTGAGTATTTTGTGCAGTTGGTGACATATTGTGTTAATATATGATGTTGTAGGAAAAAAAAATAGGATTTGGTTTTATGGGTTTGGCCACTTTGAGGAATAAAGTGGTATTTTTTTATGTCATCATTGTGTTTCTTTTGGTTATTACATACTTGGGTTATCAATATTTCGTGGTTATAGTATCAAATGTGTGTTACTTCTTTGAAGGTTGTCGTAGTTTGTTTATAAAAATTGTGTATACAAGTGAAATAATTAATACAAGGCAGGTATTAGCAAATTGATATTTTTTTACATTATCTTTCATCAAATTGATATGATTATGTACTATTTAACTAAATTTGAAATTATTTTGAAAGCGCAAAAAAAAAAAAATTATTTTGATTAAATATTGGTGAATTGTTTGTTCAGCATAACATAGTTTCTTCAGACACAAATATTTGTTCGTTTTTTGTTGTTTTGTTTCCTTGCTGTGTTTGCCTGATTTTTTTTAAATTGTACAGTGCCTTCAGGCACGGGTTATAGGAATTTTCATTGCTTAGTTGCTGAAAATGCAATTCTAGAATTCAGTATGAGGTGTTCATCGATGATGGCTTGTGATCTTAAGAAAAGGGTGCTTTTCACCTGGATACTTTCTCTTGGAAACCCATAGGAGAAACAAATTGGTGAGCCACAAAATATAATCACACAACATCACTGTTCATATAGGAATGAATCTGGACTCTAGAGATGTGTTAGGAGTGGGAGTGGAATGAAATTACATATACTAAGAGATAGCATGCTTCACGGTTTTCTGCTTTTCCTTTTTAGCAATTTAGCTTATTTATGTGTTCCACCTCAACGCAAAGAGGCTCACACTCAACATAGATCTACACGCACTGAGGCGCTCTCTCTCTCTCTCTCTCTCTCTCTCTCTCTCTCTCTCTCACGCACTAAGGTTTTAGTTATCTCACACTCAACAACGTCTCTTTTTATTTCACGCACTGAATTTATTTCACTTTCAAGCTGTTCCAGCTGTTCTCCTCCAGCCACTGTTCCGACTGTTTTCTCAATCCTCGGTGCAAGGTAAGTTTATTTTTAATATTTGAGATTGCCTTTTTTGAACTGTAAGTTTCTAAGTTTCTGACCTGTACTTCTTATGAAGACTTTATATTTCATGTAAAACTACTCAGTGTATTACTGGGGTTGACCTTAATTTTGTTCAAGGTGTTACATGTTACTATTTTTTTCCGTGAGCATTTTAATGTTTTTTCTCCTATGCATTATCAACTTTCAATATTGGTTCGACCTCTAATTTTGTTCAGTTTTCTATGTTACTACTTTTGCGAAATTTAGACCTCTAATTTGTACTTATCAAACCAAACTCTGCGAAGCATTATGGAGTTGAATAATGCTTATTTGTTAAGGTTGGAGCTTATGCTAATGCTAATGCTGTGAATGTGTGGTCTTTATGAACTATGTTTTTTTTCATTTCAATACAACTTGCATTATGTAGCAGTAGACAATTGATGATGATATCCTTTACCAGAGTGCTCCGTGTATTGTTCAGAAAGTTCTGAGGATACTCAATTGATTTGATTGCCAAGAATAATATTTTGGTTGTTTTATGTTTTTATAAGTTTCTAAGTTTCTAAACTGCCTTTTCTTGGTCCTTTAATTGGGTGGTGGTGGTGAGCATTTGAGTGGAAAAACCCAATTCAGGCATTTTTCTAATGTTTCTCATTCTTCACTTTAACCAATGGTTGCTTCCACAGTGTGGCTTTGGCATAATGGCTTCCATATTATGAAAACTCCAACTGGGTTGGTATTTTTTGTCTCCAGTCAAAGGTATGTTGATTAAGGTTTTGCAATTCGTAAAGTATTTGGGAACTAAGGATGATATTTTGTTGTTTATCTTTGGTGGGTAGCTGAAAGCTTGGATCTTTTGCATTGAATAGTCTTGAATCTTTAGCTCATGTCTCATATTTTGTTTTTTGTTTTTTTGTGGCCACTGTTCTATTGTTGATGCATCACGAAGTTTGCCACTTTTTGCTTTGGTAAGCCTCTTTGATTGGAGCTTGCAGTCCCATTGCCTTGGATGTGTGCACTATATTTCAGATGTTTTTTTTCTAGCTATTGTTCAATTAGCTTTAATTATTTTGAATTATTATGCAGTACCTAGGTTCTATTGTTGTGAATGTTTGTTTTTGTTTTGTACGTGTGTGTATGCTATCAAAAATTTAATTTTTCATTTTGTTGGTTCTATTCTATTGGTTACTTCAGTATTGGTTACTTCAAATAAGTTTTTATAGGGTTTTGATTAATTATAGAGATTGTATGTCAATTAGTATGAAATAGAGGTTTATTGTGTGTTAATTGATAGAGATTGTATGTCAAGCAGTATGAATATGTGTATTTAACGAATATTTCTAATTTTTTGATTTACTCTATCTTATATTTGCAGCCATCATAGTGTGTTAACTACCACTGCAAACTCTAAACATTGAAAAATGAAAGATCTCACAATTTTTGGTCGTGTGAGTTTAAACATCTTCTATTTTTTTTTATTTTTTTTGGCACCACAAAATATTCACATATTTATTTCACGCATATTTTTACAGATTAATGAAGACTTAGAGGAAACCGTAAGATGA